AATCGAGCCGGGTAGGACCACAAGGGCGGCAAAGTTCTCCCTCAAGAGTTTTAACACTGCTGCATTCCCAGGGTTCGAACTCGAGACCTCTGGTTAAGCTGGAAGAGACTCAAACCATCTCATCGAAGCGCTCTTGGGTAACTAGATGCTATTTTTAATTGTGTATGATGCTATTTTCAATATTACATGATGCTATTATTTTCACACATGCTAAAATAAAATTGTGTTGCTATTTTTAAGAAAATATATCCTAGTTAAAAATAGCACAAAACACACTCAATCATAGCAGTAGATACAATTAAAAATAGCAGTTCTCACAGTTCTCACGCTACGACTTGATTCTCATTTGAACCATATCCTTATAAAATATATATATATATATATATGTGTGTGTGTGTGTGTGAGATGCCAATCAATCCAATGGTTAAACCACAACATATCAAAATTTGTGTTTGTAAAATAGATAAGCAAGTTAAAATAATCCGCTTAATCTTTTGGTCTAGAACGTATTTTTTTTTTATTTTTTTTTTAAGTTACATGATTTTCAAACAAATCATGAAGCATCTATACTTGTTTGACAATTTTTTCATTAATATGGACTTGAGAGCTACAAGAGTTATTCTTTTGGGGATTCATTTCACATACATAGACCCTATTGTGATGAAACATGGTGATACATATACTTAAAAGATAAAGATGAATATCTTACCTAATAAACAATTATTCCAACTTTAGATGAAATAAACAAATATTTAGGGTACATTTCAATTTTTTTTTTAATTATATTTGTTTATAATTCATCCACAATCAAGCACAACACAAATTTCAAATCCCATAAATGGAAAAAAGAAACTTTGATAAATTTGAAAACATAGTAGTTAAAGCGGACTCATGCTAAACGGCGGCACAAGGTAATCCCATCGCCCACCGGCAATTGGCAGATCTCAATCCTTGGATCAGCTGCCAAAGCCTTGTTGAACTCGAGCACGAAATCTCTATAGTACCTAACATATTTCCTCATTGGGGCATCTGGTGGCGCCACCACAGACCCGTTCCATAGGGTGTTGTCGTAGCCGATCACACCTCCAACCTTGACCAGTTCGATGAGCCTCTTATGATAGTTGATGTAGTTATCTTTGTCAGCATCCACAAATATGAAATCGAACGTGCCATGGTACTTTCCCTAAAAGATATTGTACGAAAAATTTAGTCAAAATCGAGATAAAAATCATAAATGTATCAAATGACATATTAGATTATTATTCATCAAAAAAAAAAAGTTCGGGTTTTGAGATTTTACATCTTCTATCATTTGATCAAGAACGGGCAAAGCAGGGCCTTCTTTGAAGTCGATTTTGTGAGCAACACCGGCTTTTTCTATCACAGGGAGTCCCAATTCATAATTATCTCTGTTAATGTCCATAGCCAATATCTGCAAATTATCACCCAAAAAAATCATATTGTTAGTCATACATTAATTATCTGCAAATGTTGAACCCAAAATTGATTGAATATGTTTAAGGAAGAACCATGAATATAAAGGATTTGGAAAAGATCAAACCAATTACACCGATAAAATCATATTCCCATTCTAATAATTGTAGTTAATTACAAGTCTTTTAAATAGACAACATGCTACAAAAATGAAATGAATTCATATTTTGTGTCTTGTTTAATTATGTTTAATATACGACACGTATATAAATATGACATAATCATATACACGTGTCGTTCATCTAATGAAATTAAATAAAACGAAAATAATCGAGCCTACTTTTCCATCATGAGGAAGAGCAAGGGCAGTTGCCAAGAGAGAGTAGCCTGTGTAAACCCCAATCTCCATTGTATTCTTTGCATTCATCAGTTTCAACAGCATGTTCAAGAACTGCCCCTCGTCAGCAGATGTCGTCATAATATTCCTATTTTCCATTTAATAAATAATATATAACATAATTTATTCGAAAAAATTATTTCAAATAATAGATCAACGGTTGAAATTCAAACAAACCGACCATGGATGCTTGGCTGTGATTTCTCTGAGCTCCTTCATGGGCTCTGGCTCTCTTGGATACACGCTGGTCTCGAGAATGTACTGTTGAAAAATCAATTTTAATTAATCACACACAAAATAAATATGAAAATTTTGAAATTAAAAAAAAATAAAAAAAATCAACCATTTAATTCCAAAAAAAAAAATATATATATATATACTAGAAATTCAAAATAATTATATTTTTGGAAAACGCTACAGTCCAGTTACGGAAGCATTCCGTCAAGATTTGTAACTGTTAGATCATTATGTAACTACTATGGATAGTTGATCTAACGGTTACAAATCCCGACGTAATGATTTCGTAACGGGAACGTAAAATTTCCCTATATTTTTTACCTGGTAAAGGGCATCACTTTGCAAAAGGCTCTTGTGCCCAACTTCTTGATGTCTGGATTCGTCATTTTGTGCCATATTTTTCTCAATTTAGAGCTCTTTTATTTATTTATATAAATAAAAATAATAATAGTCTCCTTATATAAATCTGAATATTGAGGATTTGTTTCTGAAATTGGATTGGAAGTGGAGATGAATATATATAGTTGAAATATCATATCCGGTTCGGACCGGGTGGGGTCGGAAAGATGGTGGACCGGTCGCTGAACCGGTTTGGGGTTGGTGAAACTCTACAGTGAGTGGTTGGTGGGGCCCAGTTAGTGGGGAAATTGTGGGACAGGAAAAGTTGAGGTAGGGCCCAATCATGAGGGTGATTTGTGGCGCTAGCTCTGATTACCTGCTCGCGGCGTATGTGGTCCGAGCCAACGTGGTGGATGCCACTTGTTGGGAAGGCTATTGGTGGGAAAGATGGCCAATGAGAGATTTCCACGTGTGGAAGAGGTTCGGTGAAAAGGTGGTGAGGATTTGGTGGGAGGTATGTTTTGTGTTGTACTTTATCTTCGTATTGCCATTTTGGTAATTTATTAATTATTTGGCTCCATTTTGGTAATAGAGCCATAAACGAGCTGAGTCAATCGAATTTGATCTCTTTATGTTCGAGTCTTAAACTGAGCTGAGTTGAACTCGATTCATTAACTAATCTTGCCAATAAACGAGCTTCATATCGACTTGTTTATAAACATCAAAAGAGTCAAACGAAGTCTTAGGGGGTGATTGTTTATGGTTTGAATAGTAAAAAAACTAGAATTTTTTAATCATGGTTAAGTTTAAGAAAAAGTTGTATGGTTAGTTGTTAGTGAATATATTAAAATAATATTTAAAATAAAATAGTGAAAGTTGATTTGATGTAAAAGTAAGAGAAAATGATTAGAAGTGATAGTTAGTTAAAATTAGTTAAAATTATGTGAGTGGATGAATAGTGAATTAAAGTTGATGTGATATGTAATAATGATTTGTTGATGTTTTTAAATTATATAATAATATTAGAGATAGTGGAGTTGAGTTAAAGTTGAGTTAAATTTGAGTTTGAGTAAAAAAAACACTGTGCAATCAATAAACAATCGCACCCTTAATAAGCGGAGCTAATCTAATAGTATTTCATAGAATTACATAAACATTTCAGATTCTTTAAACCTTCACGAGCCGAAATCCCAATAATTCTGTACTGGTCATTGAGCGGGTACGAAATTACTTTTAAAATTATGAAAGTTATTTGTGAATAGTGAAATCTTTAGAAAATATATTACTTTTTTCTACATGAAATTTCTTACATATATCAAACCAAATAACATATTTGACTCTTATGACCTAAAAAAAATCTTTATTTGGCCCACAAGTCACAATGCTTGATTTAATGGTGGAAAAAAAGTGGGTTACTCAAGAATTAGACCATATTGTTAATTAGAAAATAAATAAATAATGTACCAAAAAATAAATAAATAAATAAATAAATAAATAAATAAATAAATAAATAAATAAATCAATGGCTATAAGACTTTGCGGTTGGTGAAGGTTGGGAATCCTTCAAGACTTAGACTTGAGGCTTGAGAGGGGACCTCCTTACCAACCCCACGAA